TCGCAGTACCCGATCAAGGACACGAGATGTCGGTGGCGGATTTTGGAGAGAATCGTGATCTCAGTTTGGAACTCAGGAAGCCCTTGGCCTGACCCTGGTGCACTTCTCTTCACAGCAACTTTTGTGCCATTCACAAGAGTCCCTTTGTAGACATTACCAAAGCCTCCCTTGCCAATTATCAGCTTGGAGTTGAAATTCTTTGTTGCTAGCTGAATTTCAGCAAAAGGAATCTTCAGCCCCAAGTGTAGGTTAGGAAGAGGTGAGCCATTGATGGTTGGGTCAGCAATCCTGCTGTGAGAACTTCCCCCTCCTACATATGGAGGCACTTGTCCCCAGCTCGAGTTTTCGACCGGTTTCATCTTCCTTCGTCTCAGTTTGAAGAACCCCACTACCAAAATACAGAGAAGAGCAAAACCCCCGATAGCTGAACCAATCACAATTGGAGCCTTTGTCTTTTTATTACCTGCAGTGATTTTTTCAGTGGGAAGCACTATGAAAAATATAAGAGAATTTTTACAAGACATGGACATAGTATTCAATTACTAACTGGGGACACAAGTAGAACTTGTCTTATAATATAGGGTCAGAACTTATTTTTTTTTTTTATATCGATATTACATTTTAAAAGTTGAACTAAATGTGGCTCCGTCAGTGATTACCTGACTCCTCGTTCTCTACGGGAGTTAAAGCAAGTCCTCTCTTTATCTCCAAAATTTCGAGCCCATTTAGGAAGGCATTATTTTCCGTGGTTTTTTTTGAAAGGCCTATGCCAATGTTCATCACATCAGAACCATGGGAACCAACTGAAAAATCGTAGTGAAAAGGAGTAGCCAGCAGGGTGCTGTTGTCCGTAGGATCGATCGCCTTGCTGAAATTGCCATTTATGTACAGATTGAATACTATAACACCGAGGGAGACACTGATGATGTCACAGAAGTGAAACCTCACAAGGTGACCAGCAGACTTATTTACATTAAAACCCCATGTTATGTTGGATCCGCCACTGGCATTGACATCCATTTCTCTAGCAGTTTGGTAGACCAAAGCTGGGGCAACATATTCACCATCTTCTGAGAGGTAATTAGGCGGATTTGAATAAAACTGACTCTCCTTTGAATTACCTTTACTAATGAGAAACTTATCATCTGTATCCCAGTTTCTCCATATTATTTCGTCATTCGACTCGATCTCTTGACCGCCAACATTGATCCTGTAAACTGTTTGGAAAACAGAAGATGACCCAGTTTTCTGACCTTGTTGTTGCCCAACTTTTATGGCTTCACCAAGGCTGAAATTCACAGGAGGGGCTGGGAAAAACTCTATGGCATTCACAAATGCCAAAGAGGATTCTAGAGGCGTGAAGTATATTCTAAACTTCTTGTTGGCGTTTATAGGGAGATAAAATTCCTTTACTAGAGGCGTGTTTGTGTTATTTTTGGCAGTGAAATTATGCAACAACAAGAACCCAGAAGCTGAAACATCAAAAACTGCCGAGGAAAGATCAACCGTGGAAGGGAAAACTAAGAAATGGAGGCGTACCAGGTAATTAGTACTATTACCAACATCATTGATGTCAAAGGCATATGAAGATTGTTGTCTGAAAACTCTTGCTGTGTTGTACAGAGTTGAGTTGTTGCTGTTCTGAGACTGGTTTGTGTTTTCGACAGAGATGCTGTTCTGCTTTGTAAAAGAGACAGAACCGGAGTTTTTGTCGCCGACGAAGCTCCGACGACTGGTGCTCACGCCTTGGTTTGAGCCACAATTGATGAAGTACTTGTCTGGGAGATTGTAAGCTGAAGAGAACAAGTGAAGGGATGAGAATTGGAGAAGAAAAAGAAGAAAGGGAAATGGAGGGATATAAAGTCTCTGGCTATGAAACTTTTCCATTAGAAATTATGTGAATTTGCTTGGTTATAGTGCTAATTTTCAGCTGGTAATTTTCCCATCTGAGAATTGTGGAGCTTGAATATGCAAATTTCAATCATACACA